ATGTAAATATTTTTCTGATCCATCTTTAGTTCCATCATCTTCTCTTCCCCTGCTGATTAAAAGGAATCCCACAGCATAATACTGCTACCGCCATGTTCCATTGTGATGTCGGCGTGTTTAGGTTTATATGGGGTGTTAGTTTCTCCTCATGCATAGCGTTTTGCAAAGTAAAAACTTCCAGTTAGGTTTGATCGGACCAAAGCACGTTCTTCTGTTTTCCCCGTAATGGTTTGTTTCAAACTTTGAGCTGAACTTTGTACAGCTGTCTTTCAGCGATGGTAAAACAGAGGTCAGATATTGGCGTATGGGGCATCAGACATCGGTTTTGGATTTTTATCAGTTCCCTGAGTTTCAAGTCCATTTTTGTAAGTTGATGCCCATCGTCGATGTGCATCGACTTCTCTGCTTGCAATCAAACACGGTCCACTGAAAATTGTTTCGTCATTTAAAAACTGAAGAACAAAACCCACCCAGACTGATCAGCTGCAAAAACATAAGCTCAAAAGAGAAAAATACCTAGCTGCTTTTAAGGAAGCAACATTTTATTATACACAAGTATGTGTTATTAAATTAACACAACAGGGGAATTTTATTTTCACACCTGAATGCTCCTGTTGGGGCTGCAGTGGACTGAAAACATATTCTACCCAAACCTTTTGTGTTTTCTAAGAGCCCGAGTCACTTGGTGTCACCACAGAAGAAGACGGAAAACAAGTTTCCTTTGACTGAATGGAGAATTTTTATTTAGCTCAAACAGATGCCCAAGTATGGTAACATATGGTTGGAGAGTACTTGCAGAAACCAAATAGTGGATGGCAAAAGCAGGTATTTCATTGACAGAGGAAATTTTTTGGCATTTATTTTGGCTAACGGCCTTATCTGCTGCTTTCCCGTTACACCCCGTTCAACATCAACACCTTTACCAATCTAATCCCTGAAGAAGTTGCTTGTATGATCTAGTCAATAAGATTAAAAAAAACATGCTTGACAAGAGATATCAAACTTTAAATTGTTCAAATTGAAACTGTAGGATTTTTTTTATCCTAATACTAACCTAATTCTAAATATAATCATCAGCAATCTACAAAAAAAAACAAACAAAAAAAAAACCTTTTTCCTGTCAATGATGCAGCTGTGAATCACCACATATACAGGAAGGTATGACCAGCTTTTATAATTAAGGTATTCTTACATGAAAGCCCTGATTGCTACTGTGGAACAAAGATGGAGCAGGTCAGCAACTCCACTCAGCTACACCTTCGTCTACGAGCACACTCTCTCACAAAACACATTCACACAGGAACCCTGGGAGACTGTCTGCAGCTCCATCTCTGTGGAGCTCAGTGGGACGCCGGTGTTATCACCGTGGAATATAAATACACATGCAGAGCATCATGTGGAGAGAAGAGGAGAAGCAGTCACACATTATATCTCAATATAAAGGAGCGTTCTCCATTGAACTAAAGAGATGCATTATTATTATCGCTGCAGCTGAATCCAGACAGAATCTACAGAAGCACAGCAGGATATTATTATAATCCCTAACAGGTAGAAAAACAAAGAACCAATCAAAACCTCCAGTGTTGCATTGAAAGGTAGCTGGGTCTAATAACACGAATCTGATGGAAACCCAACTTTATAATATCCTTGCTTAGAAGAAAGGGAAGCAAGGGGAACTTAATATGAAAGACTAAAACCTGTGGGTGGGTCTAGATACACAAAGCCTGCTTTATGTGGTTTAATTTTTTTTCATTTTAAAATAATTGGAATACAGGTTGAATTACATCTGTAGAAAGTTTTTTTTTTTTTTTTCCTTTCAGTGGCCCAGATATTTGGTTTTAAACTTTTCTCACTTAAATTTTCTGAGCTTTTTTCTTTCAATGTCAGCTGTGAAACAGGGTTTCTAGTAAAGATTATTTTTTAGCTGTAAGGTAAATCTACAAACTGCAACTGCAGAAAAAAAACCCCATCTGGTTTTACATGGACGCAAATCACTTTTTCACTTGTTTTTTTTTATTATTATTTTTTAATTAACAGTTCTTACTTCTATTTTAAACTACTCCTCTAATATAAGTGGCATGGAAGCTACATTGGCAAATAAAAGTCTCATTTGAATAAGAATACAAAGAATCAAATGTAAAACTTGAGACAACAATACTTTCTCGTCAGTGAAAGGTCCATTGGAAAATTGTTTCATTTTCCAAACAGCAAACATCATAAGTAAGCACCAGATTGCACCAGATTATAAACCATTTTTACTGTGGAAGTTGTGGATTCCCTACTAATCAAAGTTAGCTGCAATGACGTGTTTAAAACTACATTAAAAATAAAGCACAAAAAGTATAAGAAAAAGTCTCAAATGAATTATATTCTGTATGGTATTTCCCTGCCTCATTCAAACTGCAGTGGGCAGAGAGAGCAAGACTTCTGTAGATAACAGGAAGGCTGCGTACATTACCGAAAAGTAACTTCGTTTAATTCCTTTGAGTGTTCAACTTAAACCTGAGATGAATCATACTGGGTTGGTAAAGTTTTAGTCTCTTTTGCAGAGGTATACTAAGGCCTTAAGAAGGTTTAAACAGTATCCTGATTATTTATAATCACATTTAAAGAACATTTTTAAAATGTTAGGATAAAGACAGATGTAGCCAACACAACCAAAAATACAAACTAATATGTGTCATTAATATGATGGTGCATTTATTTTATTTAAATAAACAAGTTTATTTACATACATGTAAAACTAAATATATAAGGAATCTTAAATGTTTACAACTATCTAGCATGGTTGTATCTGGCATACTAACGGACAAAAAACAAACCAAGAAAGCTGAAAAAAGTTCATTTCCCTTTCTATTTTTTCTTTGTCGTTAGAGTTTATCATTTTGTGTTTTTATTTCTCTGTATCACCATGATGACACAGCACAGAGAAACATACTCCCCAGAAAAGAAAATAAACAGAAAATGTTTAATGTCTGAAACTGCACTAACACAATTATAAGCATTGTAATCATAAATGAAATTAAATCAGATAAATCCTTAATTTATAATTTTAATCCAAATTAAAAGTAATAATTTTAATCTTTTAACTTGTTTGGTATTGCAATTAACAAAAAATTTCTAAAACTTACAGTCAGTGCAGGAGTTCAGATTTATTAGCTATGTGCTTCACACCCAAAAGCCAATTTATTATGTTTTTATGGAAATTAATTGTTCATTGCTTCTCTCAGTGTGCATGAATAAATTGTGCTTGTGTGCTCCATCAGCACCTCTGAAATGCACATTTAGCATATTACAGAGGAATTATATGGTGCAATCAATATATAACCGTATAGTCCTTAAAATAATTGCACTCTGTACATTTAATGCGCTGTAGAGGCCAACACAACAGCTGAACAGGGTGGAGGCTGGTATCTTGATGGCTGATTGCTCTTATACGACGACTTAAAGAGTTTCCTCTCACACCAGTTGCAATTTCATTTTATGCATCCAGGAAATGTCCAGTAATTGTCTCATTACAACACCAGCACAAACACCTGTCACCTGAATTAAATTTGCTACTTGGTATATACACAAAAATAACACGCTGTTTGAGTGTTATACAAATTTCGAATGCACCTTTAGGTGGTGTAAATCAAATGAGTTTAGACTGAAACAATTAGTGTTCTTCCCCAGCAAATGCTTTCTATTAGACTTGGGCTCTAATGCGGCTGCTGGACTGAAACTAAAGTGTAGATCAAACTTTAACCACACTTCTGGCAGAGCAATCGTTTTGTTTCTTCTTACCGGAGGTAATTTTGACTTTTAGGTCTCAATATGAATCTGATAGAGTCTCCAGAGGGAACTAAAGATTAGGGTGATGGCAAGGAGGCCTTCCAACCCCAAAGACTCTGAGCCAAAGTTAAATTGTCAAAATACAATAAAAACATGCAGAAAGCTGGCCAGCAGTTAAAATAAAGGTTTTACTACTAGGATTCCAACAAATGTTTCCGTATATTATTGAGAATGAATGGAAGCATTGTTTATTATAATGTAAACAAAAACATATTCATGTTTGATTCTCCTTTTACGTTCATTTATTATCTTTTGAGAGACGCAGGGTTATTTCCACAGAGACAAACCTCTTTTTTCCTGGTTTGTACTGGAATGTAATTATATGTCATCAGTGAGATGATGATGTTGTATAAAGTGTAAATGAGAAGGCGAGGGAAAGACAAGCAAATATTTTGGTTGCATGAAAATAGTTTTAAAATCCACATCTGTCTTGGGTATGAATACATTTAAACTCACATTTAATAAAACAAACACATTCACGCACTAACAGCTTTCCTAATATCTGAAATGTTGCTATGAGCATCATCTGTGTGACGCGATTTTTTTTTCATGATCTTCACACATTAGTAAAAACCAAAAGCATTGCAAAAATGATTACTGACGCAAAACAAATCCCCATGTTAACTGGGAATGTGTTAGCAGGAAGACCACCCAGTAAAAGATCTAAGACATCTATCTGTAAATCTCTTTGAAAACAAATCTTTAAAAAGAACATCTTGGAACAGCTTGGTTTCAAACATAAAGCAGATTCTTTGAGAAAAAAGCAGCTTCAGCTCATGCTGACAAGAGTGAACAGTGAATGACACTCTGCTTATATCAGGAGTTCACGTTAAACACTAAATGTTTCCAGAAATCACAACTGTGATGGATTCATAAGCGAGGAATATGCGCTTCTGGCATCTTCGTTCCCACTTGTTGGGTGAAAACCTGACGTGTGCCAGTCAGGGCATTTCTCCGACGTTTTCCATTACTGATTGCTCACAAACTCTGCATGTTGTTGGATACAACCGGATCTGCACTGACACTACACATGCTGATCTGCCAGCCTCCAAAACATTTTTATAGCAACAGACCGGAGAAACTATCCAAAAAGGTATTTATCTCATTTATAAGTTCAGCTTAAAGGCAGCCTCCCGTCATGGAAACAGTGTGTGTTTTCGTCCTACCTCCAGAAATCTCGTTGGCATCGTCAGGAGGTCCATCTGAATCAGTCAGTCTCTGCGGCTCGGACTCGTCGTCTTTGTCAGCATCACCTCCAGCAGCTGGTTTAGCTGGAGAGAGGCAATGAGATGTTAACAGAGCAGAAATATAACACGGATTAAGAAACTTTATTTTGCCATAAATATAATGTGGTAATATGGTTTAGGTCAAAACTATTAGTTTCCCTGATGAAATCACACAAAACTCTTAATATTTCCATAGAAACAACCACTATAAAAACTGCACATATTTGTAATGTTTCCAAAACACCAGATAAAATCTCCATAAAGTTTTATGTGTTTTTTATTTATGTGCTGAACTAAACAAGAAGCTTAATTTACTTCCAATATATATCAAATATCAAATTAGCGTTAAACCTCACTTGAATATTCAACTAACTTTCACACCATATCTAGGAAATCAATTAGCACAGAACCTCATAGAATGAACTTCAGCAGGACCGGTGCCATCTGAACACTTTGACTAATCTGACATTTTTGGTCAGAAGCAAATTCATCATGCCAAAAGAAAATAAAAGTCTGGCCCTTAGAAAGAGGATAATGTGAGGGTGAAGGCTACATTGTTATTTCCAAATGTTTCATGATGTGTAGAACAGCTGCATGATGCATCATTGCATAGCATCAGGGCGCAGATTCTTTTGCAGATAAACCTGGGAGTGGCTGAAAGCACAACTTTTTAAAAACTGAGGAGGAAAATAGCCAGAGATGTCACCCTTTGTGTCTCTGCCAAGATGATTGTTGCTAAAATAGCCTCTACTGGACTTGATGTGTCAAGAAAGTGTCAGAGTTCTTCATTGTGAAGAACTTCAAGGCCCAAAAAAAAAAATTCCTTTGCTGAAGCAACAGGGCATCAATGTGCAACTAAAGCTGAACATTTGAAACACGGTGCTGTGTTTTGGAAGTGCGTTCTTTGGTTTGATGAGTTGAGCTCTTTGGGCTCAGGGGTGTTGATTTAGTTTGGAGAATGAAGGGAGAGACCTTCAGCTCTAAAAACACAGTTGTACTGTGAAATGCTATTAATACCAGAGTGCTGGTATTTATGTTGAAACTGATCATACTGCCAGAGACTTTTGGTCCAAGCCAAGATGGGGGGGAATGAAAGAGAGTAGAAACTAACTTTTAAAAATGAGACAATGCAGCAACAACAAAACCAAGCAGAAGAACAAATAAGAGAAAAGTGACACAGATGGAAAAAGACACTGCATAACAAAATGAGCTGAGAGAATGTCTTAAAGAAAAAGCCAAATGTAATAACGAGAACCAAACAAAAAGACTATTTAGTTAAGTAGAAAAACAGAAAAGACAAGACTGTTCCAGAAGGGCAGAAAGAAAATGAAACAAACCTTTAAATCTCCCCCGAAGTGGTCTGCTCTGCTCTCTGCCTCTAATAGCAATGACGCTAATAATGTAGTCCTTAGACGGGTTGTAGTCCGTTATTAAAACCTTTGGGTCAGATTTAGACACAATGACCTCCTTTTGCTGACCACCTAAAACAGAGAAAGATGCATAAAAATACATAAAAAAATAATGTTTTATTGTAAGGAGCCATCTAGGAAAAAGTAAACTCATCTGAGGAGCTGCTCAAAAGTCAAGGTGGAAATATTTTGTTATGTGGATTTATTTATGCAATTCTCATATAGACCATATACCTGACAAATACAAGCGGTTAAATGTGGATAGAAAAAAAAAATCTAATATTATTATCTTGATTTTGTGTTTGGTTTTCTGTTCTTCCCTTCTGCTAGATGCTTTCTGTGCTTTTATTGACCTTCTGGATCTGCCTTTGACAGGTTACTAAATTGTTGCAGGTTGACGATGGTAAAATTTCATCCTTAGAGTTGACATAAATTTCACAAATGTTTCTAAACTGTAGCTGCAGAAACAAACTAAAGTGTAATACCACTGTGGAGACAAGTTTACATTAATCATATAAAATCCTGCAAATGTGAATTATTCCCTTGTGTGTGTGTGTGTGCGTCTATTCTTCCCTTCCTGCAAACTCTAAGCTTAGTGTGTCCCAGCCAGAGAGCTACAGAGTAAACTGCAGAAGGTTACACACAACGTCCTGCAGTCAGGAGAACAGAGCGGTCATATGAGCCACATGGTTTAATGAACACAAGTCTAAAACTTACAAAACCTGGAAACCCAGAACATGGAGAGGCGGCAGAGCGTAACAATAAAACAGAACAACGAATGAACCACGGGAGTGGACATGATAAAGGAGCTAATCAGAGGTAACCAGCTGCAGCTGTGAAGGGAGTAAGACTAGACAAGAACATGACTAGTAGCTGGGGAGCAAATGACAACGCGACTAAAACAAAGATGAAGGCAGAAGGAAGAGAGCCTAAACAATAACAAGAATAAATACCAAATCTAACAAAAAAAAAACCAAATAGCTAAAAAGAGAAACTAAACTAACAGAAGGAATAAACTATAATGAGAAGATAATACTGAGTCCACAATACAAATCCAAAACTCAGGTAATGAAGAAACTGAGTGAATAAACTGGGCTGGAGGGGAAAGATAATCAAAATAACAAATCTATACAAAGAAATGAAAAAAGCAGAAGTGCACAATAAGGGATGAGACAGAAACACTCTCCTCATTCACAGAAGTTAATTATTGAACCATTTCAAAATTATACACAAAGACTCAAATATATGCATACACACCCTGCTATTTGAAATTAGATCAGTTTCCAATGTTGCAGGGAAACCACGCACATTTTAAACCTTGAATTGAAAAAGCTACCAACAATTTGATATTTGTCAGCTCTTCACTGTCATGTGCTCGCGCTGCTTTCCTGGGTTTATAACCAGTTACTTATAATTTCGACACTTCTCAACGCCAACTTAGGGAGAAGTCAAAACAGAAACTTACAGCAGGACCAATCGAAAGTCTTCTGAGATTTTACAGTCAGACAAGACAAAGATTGAACTCATCAGGTGCACGACATATAAAAGAAATGTCTGGAGGATTCAATGTGAGGCGTTCAGCCTAAAAAACACTGTTCCACCTGTTGGGCATGGTGTTGGGTTTCTGTGTTGCATGTCGTACAGAAACCCATCAGCGAGGTGAAGAGGCAGAGATTCTCTCCTGAATTTAATCAGCCGCAACGACAACCCGATTTTAAGAGAAACTCACTGGGAACAAAAACAGGAAGAAGATTAAGAAAACATCCAGCCAGTCATTTTCCCCTGTGAAATCGATCTGATCTTCTTTCATAAAAACCTAGCTCTGTCTGTCTGTGTAGAACAGGAATATTATCCTGACCCAAAGGGTCAGTGACTAATCTAAATAAATCCTTTGTGATCTATAGAGATGTTACCTCAGCAGCTCTGAACCAGCTCCATCATTCTCCCCATCTGACTCAGAAACAAGAAGGAAGGAACACAATTTCATTCTTTTCACTGTGGTCAGAAAAGGCTTTATTAACCATATGAATGCAGCAAAGATTGTGCTGAAATTAATTACCTGAAACTGCATTTTCAGCAATAAGCTGTTCTTTTCCCTGAGACGGAAGGAGCCACGAAGCTGAATTTTAGTTCTATTCTCATGATATGAGTTTTATGGGAGAATCCCTATTCCTGCATATTCCCTTTTAACGCAGGATGTAAAAGAATCGACTGTAATGTTAAGCCCAGCTTTATGACCAGATGCAGACGGTAATGCAGTAACAGTGAAGTGCCTGAGTCTTGGCTATGAATGCAGGCGCACTGCGACTACAGGATGAGGATGTTCTCAGCGATGATTAGGGTGATTTCTCCCAGGCTGTGGATGCACTGCATCTGCACATTGATCAGCGTGTGACAGGTGCAAAACAAAGCAGAACATGATGCATTCCTCAGCTAACCCAGACCGACCTCCAGTGTGAGTTAGAAAGTGGTCCAGCTACTGTCCCCTCTATTAGTCCCTCTTTTAACAATCTGCTGACAAGCCACACATATTCAGCAGAAACACTCCCCCACGCCCTCCAAATTGGCAAGGGTGCAGAACAAACTTTGAGGTCTGCAGATCTCCCAGAAGTGAAATTTGTTCAAAGGAGTTTTGATAAGAAGTAAATTACATAATCCTTCTTGGCAGATAAAAAAAAAAAAAAAAAAAATCCAGTTCCTAATTCTTTCCTCGGGTTCCTGCAGTTACACTACTCTTTGACATAGTGTTTTATCTGTGTGTGTGTGTGTGTGTATGTGTGTATTATGTTTTTGTGTGTGTGTATATTCTGTTCATGTGTGTACTGTAGAGGATCCTACCTGGTAAGCTGTTGTAGAGAAATAAATAGCTGTCGACATCTCCTTTGGGCTGCCTCCATGAAACTAGGAGTCTGCGGGAACTGTGCACTTTGAAACGGAGCCTCCTCGGAGCTGGAACTGAAGAGAAAGGCAACACTTACCAGACACAAGCATGCAAAAAGAGACCTGTGTCTAATTAAAGAAAACTTTGTGACCCGAAAAGTTCCTAAGCATCATTAGACATGTCTTAAAAAGTATTTAGAAGGGATCTGAAAGCTGCAGAATAAGATGAAACAAGGAAACAGGAAGGAAGAAGTTGGAATGAAGCTCAGATTGGGAGTTCAAACAGCTAAAGATGGAATAAATATGATATTTTTACACCCTGTCACTATACAGCCACATATGTTGATGAAATGTTATGGCATGTACTTGTATAGCGCTTTATAAAGTCCAGACGACCCCAAATCACTTCACACTACACTCAGTCATTCACACATTCATGCACACATTTACACACTGCTATAAGCTACATAGTAGCCTCAGCTGCCCTGAGGCAGTCTGACAGAAGCAGGGCTGCCATGCACCGGCGCCTCTGGGCCCTCTGATCACCGCCAGCAGGCAAGGCGGGTGAAGTGTCACAAAAACGACAGAGCGGAGGTTGAAGCTGCGAACTCCTCCAGAACAAAGTAGCACATAATTGTCACTTGGTTGGGGGGAAAAAATATGGATTACATTTTTTGTGAATACACACCAGTAACTTTGTAGGAGATGCAGGTAGGAGAATCTGTAGAACATTTGTAGAGTCATGCACTCAAGTAATCTGCCCTTCATGGAAGATTGGTATAAAGAAATACTTTGCCGAATGACAGTCATAAAAAGTTTAGCTTGCAGTGTCCCACAAACCATGTACGGGAGTAAACATGCTGTGAAAGCTGATTTGTTTTTTTCCCTCCATGGGAAACTTGATATGTGCCAGCAAAAGACGTAAGACTGGGGTGGAAATTAAACTTCAAGTTAGACAACGACAATATATGTACACACAGAGATATAACGGATGTAACAGGACAAAACCTGCAGAAGTGATTGAATTTATGTAAAGCATTTATAAATGTATGGTTCAGACAATGGATTTTATAAAGGAATATGTCATGTTGTATGTGTCATTTTGTTTTAAGTTGTTTTTCTCTCTCCATCCGTCCCAAACGGACCTTCCCGAGTCTCTGTTTTCTGCATTTGTTAATTTTAAATTGCATTTCAAGATACATCTTCTGCATGTGTAGAAAGTCCTGATTCTGCTGCTTCTGCCTGTGGGACCCTCACTGGGCCTCAGTGGACCACCTCTGCAGACTCCTTGATAACATTGATTTTAGGTTTTCGTTCTGAGCCTGGAGTTCTGCATTTGGCAGCGAATATCTCGGGTTTCTGGGGCCAAGACTGGCCATGTGTGAAAGAGAAGGTGGAGCATTAATGCTGGATTTTCTGTATGCCTGCAATGGATAGCTGGACCTTGAAATTACTTTATTCCAAACTTCTGTCTGCTCAGTAGGGGCAAATGAACAAAATTGGTCAGTCTTAATTTTTTTTATTTAATCTCCATGAACGTCCATCCATTTTACCGCACCCTTATCCTGGCAGGGGTGCTGGTGCCTGACTCCAGCTGTCGACGGGCGAGAGGCGGGGTCACCCTGGACAGGTCATCTCCATGAACAGTTCTTTTCAAATATAATTTTTTTGTTAAATTTGTTTTATGGTATCTGAAACAGCAAAAGATTTAAGGTGCTGTGATGGTGGTGGTAACAGCATCCACCACACATCCGTTTCATGACAGAGGTTAGCAGTTGCCTAGAAAGTTGCTTTTACTTTGCATAAATGTGAAACTGCGTTGCCACCGTGTTCCTCTGGTTTGCATCATGTTTTGTATTTTGCATTGTGGGTTTTGTTTTTTCAGCTGTCGTTATTAAATCGGCCGCCTTTGTTTCTGCACCAGCCTGCCTGCCGGCGTTTGGGTCCTTTATTCAACATTCGACTGATAAAACAGCTACAAGGAGTCATTCTGGGTCCACGGGGTCCATCAGCAGTCCTGGCTGACAATTCAGCAGCTCATGACTCATGGTCGATTATGTCGGCTTTCTTCCCACATCGTACTCTGAGGCAGTTTGTGTCATTAGTGCCTTTACTGCCGGTTGTCCAGAAGACATTTAGAAAGAAACTGCATGTTATTCTTATTAGTGAAGAGAATACAATTTATTAATATATTCATAGTAAAACGCCACTGTCTTAACAAAGCAAAAGCTCGGATTTATTTTTAATGTGTTGACATTATAATCGCATTAAAAATAATCAAAATGAAACAGACAAAACAGGGAAAAACATTTTTACGCTGCACATTCTAAAAGTTACATCCAATACATATGAAACTGTCTGTGGACCTGTGTTAATTAACATTCTAGCACAGACCAGGTTGAGCTACAAATATCTGCATAAGATCGTAATGCATGCTTCATGTGTCTAGTTATTGATTCAGCCATTCAATAAAATTGGCTAAGCATACAATTAAAGCTATTAATTATTTACAATTAAGTGATTAATTAAATATTTTTTATCATGTCCCATCACTGACCTTAAAAAAGAGCCAAGTCAATCAAAAGCAAACCCAGCAAAAAATGTTACATTTTCAAGAATTTTCATAAATTGACAAATTGTAAAATTGACTGCCTTAGCATCTTATAGGTTTTGGAAAACATGACATTTTTTTTTTTTTTAAATCACATTATTTTTGTTCAAATATATAGAAAAAAAATGTAAATGCATTATTTAACAGACGCTAATGTCAGTGCTTGCTTAACTTTTTACTTATGGAGTTGAGCAACTCCTGGCACTTAGGCACAAAAGCAAAGTCAATCAAAAGAATCACATCCCTTTGTGATATTTCATGCTCTATTGTAATTTGCAAAGATGGCAATATAACACTTTAAGTTTTACACTTTCCTTGCCGCGTTTCTTAAGAGGCAACACTATGGCACCTATCCAATATTCTAAATGCACGGGCTGAAGATGTATAATTATACCACACAATAAAAATCTATGAATAATTTTCAGTGCATGATGGCGCTCAGAAGATTACTACCTTGGTATCACTTAGTGTGTTTGATGGTAGGTGAAGTGAGTAGGTAGGATCTTTATAATTGGGTGAAAATTGCCTGGAGTGCCCCTACTTTTGCTTTGCATGTGAATGATCACACTCACCTACTGAATTATGGAACAAACCTATAAGAAACATAAATTGAGCCCACCATATGTCTGGATGTCGAGATCTATGAGCAGGATGATGATTGTATCGGCATAAAATTTTGATGAATGACTTTTGGAAATCACCCCAGGATGCCAACAGAACACGAGGGCCTCTGATTACCCTTCGACAATCTCACACGTCTGTTCTTGTTTATCACCATATGGCCGTAAATATTATCCAACCGCTCCACATTTCACATTTTCTTTCTGGATAGGAGTGCCCACATTTCATGCATTCAATAGTGTTTCTCTGTGTCTCACAATATCACGTTCTGTGGACTTCATATTGTGTCTAATATCAAAAGCAGCAGCAAATCTAGGCAGATTTTGGCATGTCAATAAAGCTCTGCGTGGTTAAACAAACGACTGCAAGAAGCATCATTAAGCTGAAGGTAGAAGTTCATTGTTAGATTTTTTTAAAACTAATATATAAACGATAGATTATGCAGAGACTCCAAGAAGTAGGTTTCTAATATCACCTTTGCAAATCCAAAAATCCTTTGTGCGAGCAAAGGATTTTGCTCGCACAAAAGCTCCCTCAAATGGCCAACAATTGAACCGGCATTACTTAAAACTACATTTACACAAAGTTACCTTGATGAACCGCTATTTCTGCTTTTCAGATGCTGTGATGGAGGTAAATACAAAGCTAATTGAGCCAAGACAGCAGGAACAAGTGAGTAATTTCTAAAATACAAAACAAAAACCACAACAGAATTAGTAAAGACAAACAATAACAGAATAATTAATATTATACCCATAAACCCAAACAGCAATTTCTTCAAGCACTCCGGGAAAAAAAGTTGCCAAATCGTCAATGTGAAATAAATGCTAATTCATTCCTAATGTATAGTTCACATACTCTCCTTTTTCTAAAATTTGAGCTTGGGTTATCTCTCTTTCAGTGTGCAGACTAAAGATGTCATTCAGCTGTATGAGCTGGAATTATGTGGGCTAACGTGAAGCAAACACAGTTTGAGATTTCCGGTCTGAAAAGGGGGATGATTCCTGTCAGGATTACGAGCAGAAAGAGTTCAGAGGGAATCCTGACTGATGAGTAAATGCTCACCGGTGCGTCACTCTCCCACCCTCCTCTCAGTCATTGTCCTCCACTTCTGCTGCAACAGAGAAACTTCTCATCTTCTGATTTGATTTGATTTGAAGTTGTTTTTTTCCCCCCAAACATCTCTTCTCCTATTCTTTACTTCCACCTCACCCTCCACTCTTATTCTTCACTGCTCTTTGGAATCTATTCAACATTCATTCAAAAATCTTTTTTTGTCCTAACCCATGTTTATCTTTGAAATTGCTGACTTTTCAGTCTCCTCTTTACCATTCCTTAGCATCACCTTCCTTCTCATTTTAATCTTTTATCCCTTTCTTCTCCAACTCTCTCTTTTTTTTACAGCTGTTTCCTTCTCAACGTCATCTCATATCAGTCACACTTTGATTTTCCTTCCTCTTTTATCCTCTCGACAACATTTCTACTTCATTTTTTTTTCCTTCCTTGCTTTAAGTCTCTGGCTACCCTCTCCTTGTCTCTCCAGATAAGCCTGGTACTGACTCCGCCGAGTATTCAGGCTGCAGGAGCTCTGCTAATGCTCAGGATTTATGGATGACAAATGCTCGCTCTGTCACCGCAAGATAGCCATCCTGTACCGAACCCGAGGGAGAACGCCCGGGCGTGCTCACTCAACGTGGCGGCCGTCTCGTTTGTACACAAACTACTCTGCTCACGGAAGAGACAGCACTTAGCGCAAATCCACTCCGGCTTCTATCCACCTCTCCCCTCTTTTTATCTCCTCCACCGCTCTCATGGAACCGTTCTCTGTTTTATCACATCTTCA